TTACGTCTAGAGTTATGGCCCTTGTTTCACTTTGTTACACCTTGTTTATGCTCGATTGATAATAGTTATCATCCGATATGTATGAAATTTATATGCATCATTTAAATTTGTGAAACAGGTCTATTGAATTTCAGCAATTTCCGTCAATAATTTATAGAGTTATGGCGATTGTGAACGTTTGAATGACAAATGTGATCTGTATGAAATTTATATGCATAAATTAATAAAACGAAAAAGCCTGTCAAATTTCAATAATTTTTGTAGATTACTTCCAGAGTTAAGACCCTTGCTTCAGTTTGTAGAACCTTGTAAACTCCAAACGACAAAATTTATAATCTGATCTGTATGGAACTGTCTTATAAAGGCTCCCAATTACCTACAAAGGAATAAATATGCGACAACCCTTGACGACCGCTCGGACGATTAAGCTGCTGTGGGCGTATGTTTTGTTGCCTGGCAACCTATCTTTTTTTTGGGAGCAGGTCGTTTCATCCCACGGCCGTTTCACCCCGGGCTGTTTCATCCCAAATTTACACGGGTCGTTTCATCCCACTTATATCGGGTCGCTTCATCCCACAAATTAAATAAAAAGGTATTACTTATTTTTAATATTTTATTCATACATTAATAACAATCAGTGACTTTATGTAGTATTTCATTTACGGCATATAACAATCAGTGACTTTTCTACCAATAAATTATGTGGTATTTCATAGTTTATTTATTATAAAGCATAAAATAAATATAATTATAGTATGTTGGGGATGGTTCTGTCGGTCGATGTCGGGATTGGGCACCAGTACATCGGTTTAACATGAATAGTGTCCAACTTCTTCCTTTGCATACGCTTTAGCTTATTTTCCGAAATCACACCAAACCGCGACACCAATTTCACTAAAATTACATCGCTTACAATTGAGCGATGCTCATAGCACAACATTCAACTTAATACACCGTATAGTTATTTTCATGCATGTTGGTTTCACTATAACAGAATTGCCAGTGATAGAACAGATCAAAGAATAAAATTGCACATAGCCACTATTTCGACACGTGTTATCTTTAGATGTTCAGACTACCTGGCACCTCAAATAACCCAACGTTAAAAGAAAGCATACAGTGTCCACCTTACAATAGGTTCCGTTTTATTTTATAATTTAGCGCACAGTTTAAACCAAAAAGTATTACGATTCGCATTTTGTTATTCTAAATTAATTATGGTTTCGAAATAATATCAATCTAATTTGTCTTATTTAAAAGGGGTTCCTTTATAAAGAAGATAAATGATGTCAGACATCATAAACTAACAAACAATAAGAGAATACTTTATTACAAAAACATCGGTGAACTAATCTAAAATCATAACGGCAATTAACTAACAATACGGATATATTTTACTACAACAACATCGGTGAACTGACCTAATCGGTCTCGATCGATAATCAACAAAAATCAACGAGTAAAACTTATTTATTCCATACATTATTGTTTATTTAACAATGAGTAATAAGTGTTTAACAGTTTATTTAACGATAAGTACAACTCAGTTATAGAGATCGGCTATTGGGCGCCAGTGAAAAAGTCTCACGAGATTATCACAGTGCCACGTGTACATTGCCAGGTCTTCTAGCGACGTGTACAGGTGGAAGGCTATGTTCATTCATTTGTGATTTAAAGAAAATACATTACCTGGGATGTGCTTTACCGGTTTTCAATGGTATAATAACATTGGACGTGATTTACCGATTTGTGAAGTATTTGTCAATGGTGGAATCATATTTTTTTTAATGGATAATGGATAATAATACTACGACCACGGTATGGTGAGCATCTATGGGTGTGCATTTTTTTATATTCACCTTTTTTATTCGTACTTCATACGTAAATAATCTTAATCAAAATAAACGATCGGATAAACGACCTGCGGGAAATTAAACGCTTCATCTAATATTTAAACCCTGTAGATAAATTCATTGGGTGTTAATTTATTTACGCATATCGGGGAAATTAAAGTGCTCGGCTATTAATTAAACCCATTAGATAAGTAAACGAATCCTCCATTTCTAAACACCTCTTGGAGAAATTAAACGGTGTACCATTAAATTAAGCCATAGTACTAATTAAACGATTTTTGTAATTTTCAAGCGTTATTATCAATTATCAAACGATGTTTTGAAATTAAACTGTATGCATAGTTATTAGCGCTCAAAAAACCCATATTAAAAGATACCAATCTTATAGTGCTACATAGAGGAATATTACATTGTCAAAGATTTCAACTATATATTATATTTTCGACGCAATAAAGCAAAGAAGACGACCATTCCCGTCATATCCAAAGAAAGGCAGAAATGTAAAAATGCCGATAGCGATGAAGGACCATCACTTGGGGTGATATTTCTTTTTAAAAGTTATATTTATATTTACTTTGAACACTGCTGCCAACGTTAGGGACTAGATATGTGTTCTATTTTTTAAAAAAATTATTAGGGGATACTTGTTCACGTTATTTTACCATTATGACAGAGAAAAGTCATAATTTTAGTGGAACTGACTTTTCAATGTTATTTATAGTAATATAAATTCTACTTTGTACAATTGAATTTTAAATCATTGGAAAGAACACGATCTGGCTCAGGGTTAAATGGTCAATATCCGATTGACTTTAAATTTATACACAGTGGTTAAGGTCATGAGACAAAGAAGCCTATTGATTTTCAGCGATTTCCTTTAATTACTGCCAGAGTTATGGCTAGTGTTGAAACTATTATTCGGATATTCGTTAACGGATACAAAATAAGGGTTATCCAAATCAGTTTACTATCTGTTTACTATTCGTTACAATATATTCTGACATTCCTTATGCTCTATAGTCTATATTTAGCCATTTTTCCATATGCGCTAGTTTATGGCATACGAGTTTTGACCGTATTTTGACTTCCCACAATGAAATTTATTCATAACGACCAAGGTCACGTATATTCCCACTCACTGATTGGTTCAATAGTAGTAGATTATCAGACCTTGGCGAAATAAATGGCACATGTTTTTATTTTACTTTTTTCATTCGTGTTGAATGAGCAAAATGATAGGTGGGAGGGTGCGGATAACAGGAATAGTTATACTATACAAATTCCTTCACCTCATTGATTTTTTGGCATGTCATAGATAGTCTTAATAATTACGGCTAAAGGTAGGCACGTTTTTTTCCTTGCGGCTCAAACAATTTGCAAATCGAAAGTACGATTTCATACTCAGCATACACAGATACTCATAAACATTGAAACAAGTAAGAAATTATGAGTACTGGTATATGAATTTTTAATGAAATTTCACGTCTCCGAATTTGTAAACTGAATACTTTTGTTTGCTATCCGAATACTATTCGGATAGCAAACAAAAGTATTCAGTTTACAAATCTCGATCTGATTTTCAACACTAGTTATGGCCCTTGATCACTTTGTAAAATCTTGTGGACGCTCTAGGGGCTAAAGTTAATATCGGATTGACTTTAAATTTATACACCGTGTTTAAGGTCATGAGACAATGAAGTTGATTCACTTTCAATGATTTTCGATAATTACTGCTATGGTTATGGCCCTTGATCACTTAAAAAAATCTTGTAAATGCTCTAGAAGCTAAAGTTAATATCCGATTGACTTTAAATTTATACATATTGATTTTCAACGATTTCCGATAATTACTGCCAAAGTTATGGCCCTTGATCACTTTGAAAAATCTTGTGAGGCTCTAGAGGCTAAAGTTATCATCCGATTGACTTCAGATTGATACACAAAGTTTAAGGTCTTAAGACAAACAAGTATATTGATTTTCTATGATTTTTTATGACTTGAACAGCTAAATCCATGATGTTAAAAGTTTTATATACTAAACGTTAGCATTGGGCAGAACTTTATAAAAAAACAAACAAATTCTAATGGTTTTCTGATAATTACTTACTGAGTTGTTACTCTTAATCAGATTTTAATGTATTATAAATGTTTTATTACCGAAAAAAAAAAAAAAATATGCGACAACTCTTGTTGACTGCCTGGATGATTTAGCTGCTGTGGGCGTGTTTCATTGCCTGGCAACCTATCTTTACTTTAAGCAATATTTATTTTTCCTTGATAATTAAAACAAATGAAATAATGTGTTATTTATCAATATACAGATTGCCATAAACTATGAAATAAGGTAACCTATGGTAACTTAACAATTAATTTTATATTATTTTTCAAACTCTGTTCCACATCAATTTAATATGATCGTTAAATAGACATCTGAAGCTGTGATTTAAGTCATAGTTTGGGCACATATCTTCTCTAAATTTAGAGATATTAAATTTTAAAATCGGCATAAAAATACCCAATTTTTGTCATAAATCTAAAAAGTTTTCAGTCTTGCCTGATCCGAATTAAATAATTTTTGGCATGCAAATAGCTAAGCTAGTGTTTAATAAAATTACGGGAGTGTTTTTTCATGGTGGCAATAATAATGCCAAAATTCCAGAAAATAAAAAAATTTCATAGGTTGTTAAGTAAAAAATTGGACAAAATATCCTGAATTAGCAATGAGTATACTTTGCCGCTCCTGTGTGTGTAGTTCATGAAAAATAATATGAGATCGTTATTGGTCCCTTTGACCAACAATCCTGACCCATCTGGCGAAGTGAACGTTTCTTTCTGTTGACGATTTGTGTTTTTAGGGGAAAAGGAGACGGGTACTAAAGTATCACTGAGAAATAGTTTGAAAAGTGCGAATCTTAGACATGGCAACGCCCTTAATCATTGTTCGTTGTCCTCAATATACATGTAATAGCCATGACCAATAAGGACACTTATTTTGAATCCGTTCTTAACAAAAAAAAAATTATTTTAATTCGGTGTGAAATATTTGTACAATGAGAGGATGAACTCTATTGATTTTCGCTATTCTTGGTCAATCTTTTGCAAAATGTGGGCGTATCTTGCACGGCAACCGCTTGTTTTTCTTTTCAGAAACTATCAAAAAGACTAAGTAAAACACCAAAGACCCCACAATTAAAGAAACAGAAACCCACAGTATATAATATAAACACAATTCATAAAAGGTAATGTAAACGGAAACAAGTAACATATACACCAGTTTGTAGAAAATTAAACAGCAGCTTTTAGACATGTAGTTGTCCACATTTCTTGTGAACACTCTACGGACTACAGTACATTTATTATCTGATCATTTTGAAATTTATATCACTTCAATGTGGTGTGCCACAAGGACCGGTTCTGCTCGAGATGACATCATACGAATACACCATCTAAATTGACACTGTTGTGCGAACAGCCTCGGTATGCCCAGTGCCATTGTTCTTTTCTACTCCACTAACCCCTTGCAGTGGTCTGCCCTCTGTTTGCCCCCCCCCCACCCCCCCAATAATTTTGGAAAATAAAAAAAAATTATTTGTGATACGTTTCGGTAATCAATACCTTCTACAGTGATTAAATCCCACACCCCGACTCAGTCATAGACATGCATGTTGTAGAGTCTTGAGTGATTTCTTACCAAGCCCATCCTGCTGTAAACCTACTATAAACAATAACACATGAACCACTTGAGAAGTGCTTTTTACGATCCTCAAAGTTTTTGGGTATATAGGTTCAAAGCGGCGAAAATATCCATTCACTTGATATACTCACTCCGTTCGTTTGACATTTCCCTTTCTCTTCGGATAAGCTGGTGATTTGGCAACGAACAGTATCTGGTCAGCTCTATTTCTGAAATACTGCCCGGCTGCGTTTCCGGCAGTCTATTTCACAAAATATTGTGGCGAAAATATTAATTCACTTTGATTCTCTTACTCCGTTCATTTGACACTTTCCTCTCTGGGGTCGGATAGACTAGTGATCAGACAACAGATGGTATCTGATCAGCTCTATTTATCTCGACAAACGGTGCCTAAACACTGTCAGACAGCATTTCCGAAAGTCTATTTTTCAAAATTTTCTGGGGGAGGACCCCCATTTCCTCCTTAAGGTTTCCCTACTTTGGCGCTCTTTAGTGGGCTTCAACGATTAGTGCCTGAAATACTGCCAGACTGCATTTCCGGCAGCCTGTTTTTCTAAAATTTCTGGGGGAGGCCCCCCCTTACCCATAGTTGAAGCTTGTGCCTTTGCCCCCTTAACCTTGGACTTTGCCCCAGCTTTGCCCCTCCAACCACCGGCCGGTTGGCGCCACCACTGACCCCTTGGTCAATTCGTGAGGTACATGTATTCATGAAATTAATTTATCTGCTCTTGATGAATTCATTGGCCATGTACTGGCATGTAGGTTGATTCTACAACCCAGCAAAAAACAGTTTAGACTTAGTCCAATCTTGAGTTATTTTTTACACTCACCAAAATACGGCAACTTGTGCATTGCATTATAAGAATATTTTCAAGAAATTTAATACCAAAGAAGTGACATACACGCAAAAAAATGTCCTGAAATATTTTGACAAAGTTGACAACAGTGATTTGGGAATCTTTGATGTAACAAAATTCTAGTTCGTGGAATAGAACGGGAGATGTCACCAGGGATACTGAGGATGTTGTGCAGACTACACACAGTTACAGTCTGGCAACTATCTTTTATTCTTTTCAGCTTAAATGATGATGATGAAGCTCAGAAACTGTACAATGCCTATGGAACACCTAAAGCAAAGGTATGTTGATGTCATTTTTATAGCCCACATTTTCATATGGACGTATATTGTCATCGTCCTCTCTGTTCGTCCATCCGTCCACAATTTGTTTGTGGACAATGTACAGGTCACAATTTTTTTCCGATTTTGATGAAACTCGATATATAGATCTATCTCCCAAAGATCTTGGTTCCTTTCAATATTGGCATGTATCGGACCATAACTTCATGGATTATGACCCCTGATTGTACGAAAAATCACATTTTTAGCTTGTGGACCCTAAAGAGGTCACAATTTTTATCCGATTTAAATGAAACTTGAAATTAGTGTTGAAACTACTATTCGGATATCCGTTAACAGATACAAAATAAGGGTTTTCCAAATCATTTTTATACGCCCACATTGAAATGTGGATGTATATTGCCGTCGCCTCCGTCCATCAGTCCATCGTCCACAATTTTTTGTGAACGCTCCAACGCCAAAAGTTATCATCCAATTGTTTTAAAATTGATATATGTTGTTTACATTAGTGAGATGAAGAAGCCTATTTAATTTCAACAATTTCTGTTTATTACGTCTAGAGTTATGGCCCTTGTTTCACTTTCTTGAACCTTGTGAACGCTCTAACGCCAAAAGTTATCATCCGATCTATCTGAAATTTATATGCAATATTTAGATTACTGAAACGAAAAAGCCTATTGAATTTCAACAATTTCTGTTTATTACATCTAGAGTTATGGCCCTTGTTTCACTTTATTGAACCTTATGATTGCTCCAACGCCAAAAGTTATCATTCGATCTTTGCGAAACTTACATGCATTATTTGAACTGGTGAAACAAAGAAGTTTATTGAATTTCAGCAATTTCCGTTTATTATGTCTAGAGTTATGGCCCTTGTTTCACTTTATTGAACCTTGTGAACGCTCCGTCAAAAGTTATCATCCGATCTTTCTGAAATTTATATGCATTATTTAGGTTAGTAAAACGAAGAAGCCTATTGAATTTCAGCAATTTCCATTTATTACGTCTATAGAGTTATGGTCCTTGTTTCACTTTATTGATCCTTGTAAACGCTACAACGCCAAAAGTTATCATCCGATCTTTGTGAAATTTATATGCATTATTTAGATTAGTGAAACGGAGAATCCTATTGAATTTCAGCAATTTCCGTTATTTACGTCTAGAGTTATGGCCCTTGTTTCACTTTATTGATCCTTGTGAATGCTCTAACGCAAAAAGTTATCACCCGATCTTTGTGAAATTTATGTACATAATTTAAATTAGTGAAACGAAAAAGCCTATTGAATTTCAGCAATTTACAATAATTACTTCTAGAGTTATTGCCCTTGTTTCACTTTGTTAAACCTTGTTAATGCCAAGTGATGAAAGTTATCATCCGATCTGTATGAAACTTTTATGCATCATTTAAATTTGTGAAACAGGTCTATTGAATTTCAGCAATTTCCGTCAATAATTTCTAGAGTTATGGCGACTGTGAACGGTTGAAAGACAAAAGTGATCATGTGATCTGTATGAAATTTATATGCATTATTTAAATTAGTAAAACGAAAAAGCCTGTCATATTGTTTCAGTTTGTAGAACCTTATAAACCCTCAAACGACAAAATTTATAATCTGATCTGATTATTACCTACAAAGGAATAAATATGCGACAACCCTTGTCGACCGCTGGGACGATTTAGCTGCTGTGGGCATATGTTTTGTTCCATGGCAACCTATCTTTGATTATACATGTAGCTTCAGTCCATTCAATAACCTGTTTTTATTACTCAAATGGTTTCTCAATTAGCTGAATGCCAAATAAAGAAAACAAAGTTACACTTACAATATGACTACGGTAACTAAGAAGTTATTCGTTGTTAGGATTTTTTGCCGGACCCCCACCCCATTCGCTACATGTAATACCAATTTGTAAGGAGTAATTGTGATTACTGTGTTACGGTAAAACTCGTTTTTTTAGGAATGTGGATATGTGGAATTGTTGATTTTTTTTTTTAAATCTGTACGCATGCAGAGCGTCTTATGAATAAAATGATGTTCATCATATTTGCAGTTGACATATTCTGCCTTACACCCGGTGGTAATCATTTCATTATATTGTGCACAAACGTCATTCCTTAAATAGGTCCACGCCCCTTTAACAACTTACAAAGCATGATTTTTCTGTTAGACAATTTATTCTACATTCTTTGATTTTTGATGTGCTTTCTAGGTTAATTAATATTATAAATATTGAAGAGGACCAATTCATAAGATCTGGTTGTTAGATGGTTACTCGGTGTGTTGATGGATAAAACAATCAAAATTAATATTTTGTGTCTGTGATAATTATTGGAAACGGAACGGTTTTATTATACGCCAACATAGAGGTCATAATTTTTAACAGATTTTGTTGAAACTTGAAATGTAAGTTTATAACCCAAAGATATCGGTTCCTTTCCATATTCGCGCATATCGGACCGTAACTTCCTGAATTATGGCCCCTGATTGTACGAAAAATCGCGTTTTTAGCTTGTGGACCCTATAGAGGTCATAATTTTTATCCGATTTAAAAGAACGTATTATTATATCACCGTTACACCCTAAGGACGACTGAGTTCGAATTTCGTGAAAATCGACCCAAAACTGACCGCCCTTCGTTCTCAAATAGCGTAAAAATATGGTATATCAAGGTTGTGGACCCTATAGAGGTCACAATTTTTATCCAATTTTGTTGAAACTTAAAATGTAAGTTTATAACCCAAAGATCTCGGTTCCTTTCGATATTTGCGCATATCGGAATGTAACTTCCTGAATTATGGCCCCTGATTGTACGAAAAATCGCGTTCTGTTTAGCTTGTTCTCTATCCATCTCTCGAAAATGTGGGCGGATCCTGCCTGGCAGCCGCTGGTTAAAATTGCTAATCAAATTTGGCAGTGCTGCTAATCATCTGTGAAAAATAACCGACAGCCCTGCTAATTGGGTGAAAGCGATTCACTACACATTCTATCAATACCTTGACTAAGTTTGATGATGAGAATTTTCTGCTAAGGCTAAGTAGCGATAAGCTATTTGATTGGTCAAGACTTTGGAACATAACAACTCTGCTTTTAATTTAGAAAGAATGTTTAAACTGGAGTTCAAAGATTAACATTTCCCGCTAAAGCTAAGCAGAGCTTATCAATTTCATTGATCGATGCTTTGGGACAAGATATCTTTAATTCTGACTGAAGAATGATGAAACTTTGTGTAGTTTCTCTACCAGGTACTTCAAAACCTTGACTGAGTTTGAAGTGAACATTTTATGATTAGACTAAGTATAGATAATCAGTTTGATTTCTTGATACTTTTGAAAAAGATAAATGTGCAATTAATTAAAATATGTCATCTATTTATTTTGGGATTTCTGTGGGGGACATCTGCCTCTTTTTTGGCTTGTAATGTTTTTTCGACTTTCCGGCTAATGTCCAAAATGAGTTTGAACGTGAACATTTTATGATTAGACTAAGTACTGATAATCAGTTTGATTGCTCGATACTTTTGAAAAAGATAAATATGCAATTAATTAAAATGTGTCATCTATTTATTTTGGGATTTCTGTGGGGGGACATCAGCCTCACTGTTGGCTTGTAATGTTTTGTCAACTTTCCGGCTACTGTCCAAAATAGAAAAAATCAGAGTTATCTTAGCATATAAATAATTATATCCTGCTTTAAATTTGTTCTATTATGTATACTTTGGATTGCCTCATTCCTCCTTCCTTACTCCACTAAATCCAGGAAATACACTGGATGAATGACATTACCAGGGCGAAAAATATTGGTCAGTTCCTTTTTATATGCCCACTTAAAAATTTGGCCATAATATTTTGTCTCCGGGATATATACTATTCAAAAAAAGTAGGGGATATTTGATTTTGGGGGCATAATACTAAAATATGCAAATGACTACGAAAAAAGTCACTATAGAACCTAACAGAAGAAACATTTCCAGTTACATGTGACGCCCAAACGCACCAATAGCTACCGCATGGAATGCAGGTGATGCTTGGGATCATCATGGGGGTCCAACCCAAGATTTGCACGACTCTGACTTTGAATGTTACAGTCATTGTGGCATTGAATTCCAGGGTGGAAACATCAGTTTAATTGTTTTAGTGACCAGAAAACAAATTTTGATATGCGTCGGCTTACCCAAAATGAAAGGTTACGTGCCCTTGGCATGCTACAGATCGGCACAACACAGGCGGTTGTGGCGCGGACGATGAATGTTTCTCAGTCTGTCATAAGCAGGCTATGGTCCAGATACCGTGATACACAATCTGTACAGGACAGACCACGCTCAGGTCGACCAAGGGCGACAACTCAAGCCCAGGATCGATTTATCCGTACCTTGGCCTTGAGAAATCGTGTCATCACAGCAAATCAGATCAGCGCTCGTCTTCAAACAGACACTGGTGTGAGAGTGAGTGGCCAGATGATTCGGAATCGACTGCATAGGGGTCACCTTCGCGCCCGACGTCCTCGCGTGATCCCTTGTTTGAGAGATATCGCATTCAGGCAAGACATCGTTGGTGTAGGGATCGTCAACACTGGGATAATCGACGCTGGAGCAATGTGACGTTTTCAGATGAGTCAAGGTTCACTGTTGATTTTTTGGACAGACGTAGGAGGGTGTGGCGTCGTCCAAACGAGCGCTTCCAAGACGTTAACGTCATCAGACATGATCGATTTGGGGGTGGTTCTGTTATGGTGTGGGGAGGGATCACTGTTGCTGGAAGAACGGCTTTACATGTTGTTGCAGGGCGTGTTACAGGCCAGTACTACCGGGACAACATCTTGGCAGTCCATGTTGTGCCGTTCGCACGACGTCATGGCCGCCGTTTCATCTTCCAGGATGACAACGCAAGATGTCACAGGGCCAGGATCGTTACAGGTTACCTCCAACAACAGAACATCACCACATTACCTTGGCCAGCACTGAGTCCCGACCTCTCCCCCATCGAGCATGTCTGGGACATGCTTGGACAGAGGTTACGTCAACGTCAACAACGTCCTGCCAATGTCCAAGAACTTGCTGCTGCGTTGCAACAGGAATGGGACAATCTGGACCAAAATGACCTTAGACGTCTCATTAGGAGTATGCCACGTCGGATCAATGCTTGTTTGGCAAACAGAGGAGGATTTACCCGTTACTGACTTGGTTGTGATGCTGTGGTAACTTTGCTGTTTGACCCCGGGTATCATTTTACCCTTATAATGGTCAGTCTGTGCCTTACTTAGTCTAACGATCATTTGGAATAAATCGATGAATGTGAACTTCATTTCATTTTGTCATTTGTTTCTTCGTCAGTTTCATTAGGTGACTTTAATAACACTTAAAAATCAAATATCCCCTACTTTTTTTGAATAGTATATTATCTGCATGGAAAACCTTATGAAATTCGGTTAGCATCCAAGTTTTCTTTATCTCCATGCTTTGTGAGGCTACCTTTGTTTATAAGTATACAACCTCTTTGAAATAATCTTATTGAAATAACATTTCAATCCAATTCATCACTCTATTTGACACAAATCTACATAGTTTAGCCTTTTTAATTCAAAGAATGAAAATTGTTTTATGTCATATTGACTTTTCAATACAGGGTAATACAGCTAAGAAACGACAACATACGCCTGATTCTGGATCTGTGAAAAGATTAACAGGAGTAGATCGTATTCCAGCTGTACCATTTTCACCGGCAAGTTTCTCACCTACAAGGTATTATGTAATGTTATTAAGAGTCATTCCACGAGAAAACCATGCAATATCATGCAGATGTTCGAAGGTGGGGGTCAGCCGTTTAAGTTTATATTCACAGGGTTTGTTCGACCCATCGAGCCTACTCCCCAGATCGGCTGATCTTTGCCATTTTTAGGCCAAATTTTAGATATTTTTGTCGCACTATTACCGCTGTTACATGACCCTGGCGAACTAGGTTTTGGTTGTTCGTGATAGTCGGGGTCTTACCCTATCACATTATCATGGTAACTCGGTTCAAGTTCATTTTCCATAGGTGTCAGGAGACTACACAAGATACGCATCTGAAGATACCCGAAATGTACCCTATCTCCAGATTGCGATAACTCCACTGGAGCAGGGTTTGCGATAAAAATTAAAATCAATTTATTTGCAGCTTGACCAGTTCTAACAACATAAGAAATAAAATCGTTGTCAGCCAGCTTGCAGCAGTATGAAAATTCCCGTCGGAAGTTACCAAAACCTTCAGTTTTGATTGGGATACATCGGCTGATTATTTAGATACCCAATCGCCTATATTGTCATTCAAAGGGTCAATATATCAACTCCAGCTCCCCTTCTACCCGGTTTGCCAAAATATTCAGTCTCGGTGTTGTTTGGTATCCATAAACATCTCAATTGCCCTCTAAATTAATTTACTTTTATAACCAGGATCCAACTTGATTAAATTTGGGGTGTTGATTCTTAACAGCAGTAGATCATTAATAGTTGTATTATTCAAGCGTGTCCGTGTCTGTTGTAGAAGTCGATTCAACACACTAATACCCCAATCTACTGTAGTGCTTGAAAGGGAGGTCACTAAAATCAATTCAATAATTAGAAGAATATGTGGTAAATTTTCATTGTGATGTGCAAAGATCTTTTCCCAAAGCACTAGCGATGACTTTTTGTGATGAAATTTGGTTGAAACCAAATTCTTTAAGACTTTCGATTCCATCAAGGCAAGGTCTTTTGAATACGTGTGATATGACAAACTCTGCTGGAAATGCTCTCCAATCTGGATGATTTCTTCTTTACCATAATTTGGATTTAACATATCCCACTGACTGTGATCAACAATTTTAAAGGCTTGAAATATTCCTGTACTACTGTGACATTATTGTCTAATTTTTTATATGCCCACATTTTCATGTGGACGTATATTGTCGTCGCCCCTGTCCGTCGGTCCACAATTTGTTCGTGGACACAGTACAAGTCACAATTCTTATCCGATTTTGACGAACATTGAAATATAGGTTTATCTCCAAAAGATAAACTTTTCATTGGGTGTTTTATTTTTAGGCAACACAAATAAAATAACTTGTTTCTCGGGCACCGCCCTCACGCAAAATTGGTTGCGCGTGCAGTCTATTTATTAGTCTTGATGAAAAAAAATAAATATGTAACGGCCGCCCGCACATCGACAAGCAAGTCGTAAAAAAAATATCCCGCATGTACCTACATCCGCCATACATGTATATCTATTCAAATGTATTAAAACTGATTCAGATGAACATGCTGTCTTTTTTATCCGAACAATGGCGAAGTTTGGCAGATTTGCCTTTTTTATTGATATCAAAGAACCTCCATTTTGTATCACGTGATATTAATTACCTCCCCTGATAAACTAGAATTTGATTCGTGTTAAAAGTCATTGGCGACAATATTTCAATCATTCGATCGTAATCGGCTCATTATTGCCGGCTTCAGTCGGTCCTTGTTTGGAAAATCCTATTGATAAAATAATGAACCGTAGAACAGGTTAATTAATTATAGCTAAGAGTACGATACGATGACGATAGTCGTCATAATGCATACCTTAGAATCTGGGTCATTATTAGCACATTTACGGTAGTTTCGATAATCCGGAAAATAATAATTGGATTACCGATTTGATGGTTTTACTGACCAGTTGTTAGTTAGATTTAAATAGTCATTCAATATAAACACCAGATAGAACACCGAATATCCTGAGAAACACACCGAATATCCCAAGAAACAGTATTTCCGGCAATCTCCAATACCGATGACACGGTGTGACATGCATTGGTTGGAATTCGGTAAATAATTATAAATAAACCGGCGATACTAGATTTAGTTTTAAATACTGTTTACCATGATTATTATTTTTGATACACCTGGTGAAAGAGGCTTAGTTTTTAAAAATATTGTTGTCTTTATGGAGGGCTATTACATAGTCGTATGGAATTTTATTTTAAACCAATTTCAATTATGTGAATTAAATATGGAAAATTATTTTCCTTTCAGTCAGTGTTCAGTCTCAGTGTTTTAGTAGACTTGATTTTGGGTTTATGTTTTAAGTATGTACAATAAAGTTGAATATACAGAAAGCAAAAACGTAAACAAGTAATGACTTTCTCATTTAAAAAAAAAAAAAAAAAAAGAAAGACCGCCCTCCCGCCCCAACAATTTTCAGCAATAGCCAAATTTTATTTTGCACCATCAATGAGTAAAAAAAAAAAAGAAACCGCCCTCCCTCCCTACAGTTTCAGCTGTCAGTTGCCCGAGAAACAAGACATTTATTTTGTGTGGCCTTATTACTCACCATTAATTTAAAGATGGGTTCCCGCGTACAAACTGGATGATTTAATGGTATATATGGACTAAAAACATATTCAAACTAATTAATTTGTCATAACTTTGCTTCAAATCCTTCTCAAACATTGTAATTGTGAAGGAATGTCCTGCTATAAAAATTCAATCAAACCAGGTCATGTTTACGTCACATGCATACATAAGACCATGTTGTCTTTAATCGCTTACTATTTATTACAAATATCGAATCCTAATTAAATTCTCGAATTATCCACTACCCAGCCAACATCGAAGGCTAGCCTTGACATCGAGAGTTTATTATGGTCTGGATAAGTTAATTTATGTCTAATTGATAATTTAGATAACATTTCAGGCCTAAAGAAAGACTTGTAATAAGCAGATTTTGCTCTTGCATAATGCATGTTTAACCACTCGCCATAATAGGGCCAATTTTGCCATTTTTTCAGATCATTTTTGGTCAATTTTCAGCCACCTACTGTAGCGAGTCGAGGGTTTGGATGGAAATGGTGGTGATTGGTGATGTTGGTGGGGGTCTTCCTGTGCCCCAGTGTGAAGACCATAAATTCACATCTATTCTCTGGGAGTAATGATCAGCAAAATTGTAACATATGGCATCTAAAACAGAAAATATACACCTGCGAAGATTAGCTTTATTTTCTATGATGCGGGGGTAGGTCAAAATATCGAAATGGTTTTATGCACAGCTCGACACCCTCTATCCATATAAAAAATAAAATCTCTGTCACCTCTCTTCAATCAATGCGAAATCATAAGACAAAGTTGGTGAATTTTCCCTATTGTAAATATCCGATTCTCTATGAAATGGCCAACTACTCTCATTCTGGAAAAGCCATCTTTCTCCATTTCTTCACCAAATCATTCGCCCACGCTCGCTGGTAGCAGCTTAAAACCGGCTCGAGCAAAACTAATCTCTTTGATGAGGATTGGTATCCAATACATGATGGCCGGGCCCGAGACCGCAGAAAATTGTGTTTTTTCCTCATTTTTGGCCATAGAATGTGGTACATATCCCGGATATGAGCAATACAATGACATCATAGATTGAAAGAGTACTAAGGACATTAAGGCCCATCCTTAAGCACATTACATAGCAATAAGTGAATTGAGAACCGAATGGGGGCTGATTTCTTGACGAAGTGGGATTTTTGATCTTAATTCGTCGATTTTAGATGGAAAGGTGATATGTGCTGCCCATCGCTACCGCCTGGGTCTCAAATGGAATATTCCAAAAGGATGTAAACAATATGCTGCCCATAATGAAGAAATGGGCTGTCAAAAGAGTCAAGTTCCTACACCGCCTCAGGTTAGTTCTTCAAATAAATGATATGACATAGGGTCAAAAATTCAACTTCATCATAGTATCTTTTTCAGGGCCCAAAATGGATCAGGCCAGTCCCTTTAAAACTGAATTTGTATATGAAGGACATTTCTATCAGGGGCAACCTCTCAAAATATTGTTGATATTTACCCCAACGCACATGGGCCATTGAAAATTTTCTTGTATCGAGTCTCCGAATGATGGACTGGTTGGTAACATGAACCCCTGCAAATACTAAAATAGAAAATAATTTTAGTAAATTATTTTATGTGTTTGGGTTGTTTCAGGTTACTGTTGGAACTGATGCTTACTCCTTCTGTAACAGCTATTGGTAGCGGAACTGACATACAGCCTCCTCCTGTAACAGCTATTGGTAGCGACACCAGTGACAGCAATGGCTTAGAACTACCAATAATAGGCCTAGATCAGGTAATGATGACATAGTAGCAGTAGAATGATGATGGATGTAAGTAGCACTACCAGTGGCTGCAGATGATGTAGCAGTGGGAGAGATGTCATCAGTTCCAACAGTAACCTGAAACAACCAAACCACATAAAATAATTTACTAAACTTATTTTCTAAGTATTTGCAAGGGGTAACATTTGTAAATTTTCTGAAATCAAGTCTATGATTGATCGACTGGCCTGGTCCCAGTTCCCAGCCGATCCATCCATAGACTCGATACAAGAGTCCATATACGTTGGGGTTGATATTAAGAATGTTTTGAGAGGTGGCCCCTGATAGAAATGTCTTCATGTACAAATTCAGTTTTAAAAGGCTCAGCAAGATCCATTTTGGGCTTCGAAAATGATCATATGATGAAGTTGAAGTTTTGACCCTATGCCATATTATTTATTTGAGGAACTACCCTGAGGCGGTGTAGGAACTTGGCTCTTTTGACAGCCCATTTCCTGATTATGGGCAGCATAATATTTCCGGCACATACATAGAATAGAAGAAAAACAAATCTAAAATTAACAATAATTTTTTAATGCTGCCAAAGTTAATAAAAAAAGCAGAGAGCTGGTCTTTAGTAAAGGTATTACAGCTATATCAGACTCAATGCAGCTGGTCTGAGGACTTCTGGAGCCCATCGCTTAACTCCGTCAACTGGAGTATCATCGCACAACTGTTTTCTGCTAATTTGATTGTGGTCGAGCACACGCAAGGTTTCCGTCGATATTTCAAAGACACAATTTCCCCCCTCTTTTTTTCAATAGTATTTTATTTCACTTAGCCGATCCAATATTAATAAGCTGATTCCAAGTGACACAACGCGGTCTTTGTATGACTTCTCCTTAGATGTGGCATCTTGCATCCTTTTGGAATATTCCGTTTGATGCCGCTTCGTCAAGAAATCAGCTCCCGTTCAGTTCTCACATCACTTATTGCTATGTGATGTGCTAAAAGGTGGGCCTCAATGTCCTTGGTACATTTTTTTCAATCGGATGAAGTGATTTTCTTGGTCTATCTAGGATATGTACCTCATTTAATGGCCAAAAATGAGAAAAAAACGCAATTTTGTGCGCTTTCAGGCACAGCTATCTTGGATTGGATACCAAGCCTAATCAACAAGACTAGTTTTGCTCAAGTGGGTTTCAAGCTGCTACCAGTGAGCGCGGCGAATGATTTGGTGAAGAAACGGAGAGAGCTGGCTTACCCTGAATGAAAGTAGTTGGCCATTTCCTAGAGAATAAGGGATTTACAATAGGGAAAATTCACCAACTTTGACTTATGATTTCGCATTGATTGAAAAGAGGTGACAGAGATTTTATTTTTTATATGGATAGAAGGTGTGAAGCTGTGCACAAAACCATTTCGATATTTTGACCTCCTCTTAAATATTGAATATCAGAAGTTAAGGTAAGACGCGGGTCGAAAATGTCTAAAAATATTCCAAATTATGAGTTTTGACATTTTCTGATTTATCATATTACGAAAAAATTAAATTGACAAAATAAAAAATAAGTACCTAATTTCATGTTTTAAAAATGCCTAGGTCAATTAAAATCAATTTTTTTGTAAAGAGAATCGCAAAATATGCCACCGTCTTCGGCTTTCGTGCCGTCGACAGCATTGTTATGGTCGCCATGTTTGATATATCGATGGAAAGAGGAAGTTCCGCTACGTTTTGTGGTCGTAAAATATTCTATTTATAACCGTTACATATTTGGCAATTGCCGGGTCTTCCCGTTAAAAAATATTACGGAAACTGCCTTTTATGGGTTTTTGAATACATAATAAGGGTCAATCGGTTGTGAACTCTTCCGGCGCATGCGCAGTACATTATAATCGTTACGTAGCCTAGTTACGGAGATGCGCGATCATACACGACTCACCATTTAGTTACTATTACTTATAAATGACAATCGCGACTACCGGGACGTTCTTTTACTCATTTTTATATCCTAGTAAAAGTTTACGCATGTTTTACGGGGTTTTTTTTAACAAACAAATTAATTATTTTCCATTACATATATATGAACATTATGGCTGCCAGGAACGTTTCTAAGAAAAAATAAAGATTTTAAACAAGCAACCAATTTTCGAAGGATTTTAGTAGTGAAACAAAATTAAAATCCATTAGTACTATTATACTATAGTAAGTAGTAGCAATACAAGTATTACTATCAGCACTGCTAATATAAATAAGACAAATAAGAGACACATTTTCTATTGATATTATGTATGGCTGCCTGTACAAAAAAAAAAAATATAGACCTAATTTTATTTGATTTTTCTTATAGTAATTTTTTATTAGTTAACTAAATCACACCATGATAGATAGATGTTTAGTAGCTTGTTGTTACAATAACACCAAGTCAATAGAACAAGTTGCCCACTATTTTATTGATTTTAACTTAAAAGCAGAAATATTTTAAAACGAGTTTCAAAAAGAAATTGACACAGAATGTTTGTTGGAAATATATTGGTAAAGATGTGTTTGTTTCCAAAGACTGGTGTTGTAGTGATGGCCGTATAAAAACGGAATCAGAGAAGTGTGTGAAATGTTAACTATTGCTGCTATTCAGCCAAATAATCAATTATCTTAAAACTGTAGAAATTCAGACAAATTGGGTTGCAAAAAAAAACCAGACAAAGCATCAACAATTTTAACTAAAATGGGAGAGAAAGTCTCTGTCAATTTCCAAGATCGCTGATTAGGATGCGTGGTTGCACGAGTGGGTGGGCTGCTGTATGATACAGGCACAGACAACATCAACCCTAGAAAATATCAGAATAAAGCCTACAATTATGACTAATAAAAAAATAAGTTTTTATATGATTCTGTAAGTGTTTAGCACTATCTATAAGCCGGTCTTCTACGGATCGCATGTGTTTGTGTTGTTTTTATTTGAAGATCGCGACAAAATCGGCTTTTTTTTTAGAACGCATATTTTGCACCTTAGGAAAGCCATAAAATGAAAACTATTATACCTAGAACAATGAAATTTGGCATGATATTAGCCCTATACTTACTGTACAGGAATATCTATAAATCATTTATGTATGTTATATTCATATTTCACAATTGGTCTTTGTAAAATGGAAAAAAGTGGAAATTTTCAAGTGATGAAGTTAACCAACACCCATTTGCTAAAATGAAGGTTGTCATTAATTTTGTATAGATAATCCTGTACAATGGTTCTTTTAGAATTCAGAAATAGGTTGTTTTATGATATATATTATGTGTCCCGGGAAAACTACTTTTCCTAAAAATTGTATAATATTTCACCGTTTGCCTCCAATAAAATGTTCATAACTTAGTACCTAATATACCTAGGCATTTCATACTTTGCACATAAACTCATAATAACCATATCCAAACACCTGCCAAGTTTCAATAAAATCCATACAGTAGTTTAGAAAATAGATTTTTCCTGCCACGTCTTACCTTAATCTTTTCCCAGTATGGTCACAACATAAAGTTGATTTAAATTGACAAATAATTCGTGTTTTCAATGTCGAAGACTTTGGATGATACTGAGTTAGAGACTTAGCTACTTTAAATGTTGTGTTTTCTCAGTCAACTGACCGGATTTCATTGCTGTCATGCTTAACGGGAAATCCTAAAAACTCCCATACTTTATTTGTGACTTACATACTCGGTATGGGGGATTTTGATCTCAATACTACTTTAGTCGATTGTGCGACTTGAATTTGGTGAATTCATTATGACAAAATTTCAGCTGGCTGGCTCGTATTGCCACAACAATTTCAGCCAATGAAAACTTTTCTCGTTGTCAGGTCATTCATAGATTACTGAACAGCAAAGGAAATATGTTACAAAGATTTTAATATCAAATATTAATATACATTGAAAATGTGCTGATCAATGTATGTACAAATCGCCATTCTTATACAGTAATATCACAAATCGCATATTATGGAGGTATATAGGCCTATATTATGTTGTTTTTTCCGCATATTATTCAAGTGTGTAATTTGAATGCAACTTAATTTCCAGCACGACTTGCTTAACCAGACTGATATTTTAATTTTGACGAAATAGCTATAATAAGCCACTTCATGAGTCGAAAACGCCTTAACAGTGGCTGAAACTAAAAAAGTTATTTTGCTCATGGACTTATTTACGCATTTAAAGGAATATCAGTCTATTTTTGTGAAATTATCATTTGGATAACGAATCAAGATACGGCCATTGATTGTATCGTGCATCGTGAATTTCTAAAACATCGTGATTCATCGATGAATAGTTGCAGCCCTAGTGTTGAAGATCATTAGACGAAGAAGCCTATTGATTTTCAACGATATCTAATAATTCCAGAGTTATGGCCCTTGATCTCTTTGAAAATTATTGTAGACGCTCTGGAAGCTACAGTTGATATCCGATTGACTTAAAATTCATACACAGTGTTTAAGGTCATGAGATCAAAAAGCCTATTGTTTTTCAACGATTTCCGATAACTTGAACAGCTAAATTCATGATATTAAATATTTTGTATACTAAACAATGGCCTATGGCAGAACTAGAAGCCAAACAAATTCTAAGGATTTCTGATAATTACTTAATACTGTAGGTTGTTAGTCTTAATCAGATTTTACTGTGTTGTAAATGTTTTCATTACCAACTAAAGAATAAATATGTGACACCCCTTGTTGACTGCTTGGGCAACTTAGCTGCTGTGGGTGTACGTTTCGTTGCCTGGCAGCAAAACTTTTCAAGACTTGACTGCCATGTGGGTTTATTTCCACTCTATGCATGGCTATCTTTAATGATGTAATCGGTTAAAAATACATAAACTCTTGTTTTATTTGAAACTATGCTATATGTACAAGATAATATATCTAAAGGAGTCTTGACAAACTTTAAGATGGGAAATATTGCAAATTAATTATCAAAAACATGCTTTTTCAGCACAACTCCTTCAAGAAAATATACAGATCATAAAAATTCTGGTGAAGTGCTTGTAAGTTTTCCAGTTGATAATGTGCCATGGCAGAGAAGTGAACAAGAGTGTATTGTTGGTTTATATAATGAAAGCCAATCTATTACTGCAAACTTTAGATATATGTTCCAAAAATTAACAGATAAAGCTCATGGTAAATATATTCACATATGAAATTTGGATTCAATAAAGCATCTGAAAATAAAACTAAAACATTGAAAATAATTTATCATTGCTAATGTTCTGTCTTTATGTAGAGCGGTTGGGTGGTTGAGTGGGTAAACACATTTTCTTTAGATCATAAGGTCTGTCATTTAAGTCAAAGGAGGGTTGGGTGATCGATTGGTCTAGGGTTAAGGGTTTGATTCCACACATGTACGTCACAAGGAGCAGGGTCGCCTGCCTAACCTAGTGGGTTTTCTCTGGATCCTCCTGTTTCCTCCAAGCCTTGAGATCTGAAAATCATGAGGGATTGACAAAATGTGTCCGACATATATTTTGCGGGAGCTATTTAATGCTTATTGTAACTAGTTTACATTAAAAATGTTTTTAATTAAACATTGATAAATGTAGGTGGAAAAGGTGATTTTGAGATTATAATTATACATTTGATTTTATTAGCTTTTCAAGTAGATCTCATCATTCTTCTGACAAAGCGTGGTTTCGAATCCCCGGTTGTACGTGGCAAGGAGTAGGGTCGCCTGTCCAACCTCGTGGGTTTTCTCCGGGGCCTCCGGTTTCCTCCCACTACTAAAGACCCCTACGCGCAAGCGACTTATGTAAATAAAATTAAACTATGTTAGTCCCGAAATAACCTAGTTTGTGTCGAGTGGACGTTAAACCCAATTTCTCTCTTTTCTGACAAAACTTTTTACAGATTCAAAATCGGACGAAAATTATTTTTTTTATTGGGGCTCAAAGTTGCGATTTTTGACTTTCCGCGAAAGAAAGGTTTAATTCAACGCTTTGAAAAAGACATTTTTATACGCCCACATTTTCATGTGGACGTATATTGTCCTCGCCCCTGTCCGTCCGTCCGTCCACAATTTGTTTGTGGACACTCTACAGGTCACAATTCTTATCCGATTTTGACGAAACTTGAAATATAGGTTAATCTCCAAAAGATCTCGGCTGCTTTTGATATTGGCATGTATTGGATTGAAACTTCATGGATTATGGCCCCTGTTTGTACGAAAAACCACGTTTTTAGCTTGTGGACCCTATAGAGGTCACAATTTTTATCCGATTTTGTTGAAACTTGAAATGTAAGTTTATAACCCAAAGATCTCGGTTCCTTTCGATATTCGCGCATATCAGACCGTAACTTCCTGAATTATGGCCCCTGATTGTACGGAAAATCGCCTTTTTAGCTTGTGGACCCTATAGAAGTCATAATTTTTATCCGATTTAAAAAAACATATTATTATATCACCGTTACACTCTAAGGATAGCTGAGTTCGAATTTCGTGAAAATCGGCCCCAAACTGACAGAGAAAATGTCCGCCCTTCATTCTCAAATAGCGTAAAAATATGGTATATAAAGGTTGTGGACCCTATAGAGGTCACAATTTATATCCGATTTTGTTGAAACTTGAAATGTAAGTTAAAACCCAAAGATCTCGGTTCCTTTCGATATTCACGCATATCGGACCGTAACTTACTGAAATATGGCCCCTGATTGTACGAAAAATCGCGTTTTTAGATTGTGGACCCTATAGACAGGGATAGAAACTAACACTCGCCCGGTCGCCCATGGCGAGTAAAAGTCAGTACAGGCGAATGAAATTCAGAATCAATTATCCCGTGTGGCGACCTGATATTTTGGTAGTTGTAATAATTGATAATTTGTACTTAAAGATACATTATGGGAGATTTTTACAGAGAATTGGCCATTCTTGCTATAACAGTTCAAAAGTAGATGATGAAAGAAGAATATTTTGAAAATTTCAGTCAAATTACTTTATTCTGAACATAGTTATCATCTTTGTAATATTTGACTAGAAATGGTAGTGAAATGTGCCTTCACCGTGGCTGATCGTTTGATTGACAGGCGTTAACTCCACCTACATATCTCGATTATACGTCGATCTAACTGACGTATTCTCATCAGGATGTGCCATATTTGAATTAATTGATAAGTGAAATCCTATTTAAATCCGAGCTGTAGCCGAGCCATCTGTGGGTCTACAGAGTTGATTTTGGGCTTGTTGTTTAAATAAAGATCTAATTTATAATTTCTATAACATCTGAAGCCTAAATTAAGACCTGCAATAATCAGATTTTGCTCTTGCATAATGTATGTTTAATGAACACTGTCTTTAAACTAACTTCTGAAAATCGTCGCCATCACTATTTACATGTTTTTAATCTTTGGCTGTTCCATTTCGCCATACAGGTATTGAAATCTGAGCATGCGAGCTTGCTGATTGGTTGAAATTGTATGATAACGAGGGAGGGTACGGAATCAGCCTCTGTTTACACTTCGATGAATTTAGCGAAGAACATGGTTGTTAAAAGGTTTTATAACAGCGATATATTACGACAATGAAGACGCTCGTAAATACACATGCTCTGCTATAAATAACTTCATCACTCGGTGACAAGTTATGAGATTAAATTTTAAGGACATTACATCATATTATTTTTCACATCACAACTGAATTTATAAAACATAAATGAAATATAAATAGAAATGGGGCCCCTGAAAAAATCTATTGTATTGAAGATTAAACTTCCAAAGGACAAATATGAAATGAAATGTGCCAAATTGAATTTTAATATATATGTCTTCATAACTGATTAATGAATTCATTATTTGATGAAAAAACAGAGGCAACCATGAACAAAGTCTATTTGTTTTTGATTGATTAATGATGAACAAAACAACAGTCTAAATCAGAATTTTTATGTCTGGTGTCAGTTTCTTACTGGGCTAGTAGAATGTTGGCTGGGCAAGTAAGATCTGAAAGCTACTAGCCCATTTCAGGTTAGTTTCTACCCCTGTATAGAGGTCATAATTTTTATCCGATTTAAAAAAACGTATTATTATATCACCGTTACACCCTAAGGACGGCTGAGTTCGAATTTCGTGAAAATCGGCCCAAAACTGACAGACAAAATGGCCACCCTTCGTTCTCAAATAGCGTAAAAATATGGTATATCAAGGTTGTGGACCCTATAGAGGTCACAATTTTTATCCGATTTTGTTGAAACTTGAAATATAAGTTTATAACCCAAAGATCTCGGTTCCATTCGATATTTGTGCATATCGGACCGTAACTTCCTGAATTATGGCCCCTGATCGTATGAAAAATCACGTTTTTAGCTTGTGGACCCTATAGAGGTCATAATTTATATCCGATTTAAAAAAAACGTATTACTATATCACCCTTACACCCAAAGGATGGTTGAGTTCGATTTTCGTGAAAATTGGTCCAAAACTGACAGACAAAATGGCCGCCCTACGTTCACAAATAGCGTAAAAATATGGTATATCAAGGTTGTGGACCCTATAGAGGTCACAATTTTAATCTGATTTTGTTGAAACTTGAAATGTAAGTTTATAACACAAAGATCTCGGTTCCTTTCGATATTTGTGCCTATCGAATTGTAATTTCCTGAATTATAGCCCTTGATTGTAGGAAAAATCACGTTTTTAGCTTGTGGACCCTATAGAGGTCATAATTTATATCCGATTTAAAAAAAACGTATTACTATATCACCCTTACACCCAAAGTATGGTTGAGTTCGAATTTTGTGAAAATAGGTCCACAAATAGCGTAATAATATGGTATATCAAGGGTGTGGACCCCCAAGAGGTCACAATTTTAATCCGAATTTGTTGAAACTTGAAATGTAAGTTTATAACACAAAGATCTCGGTTCCTTTCGATATTTGCGCATATCGAATTATGAATCCTGAATTATGGCCCTCGATTGTAGGAAAAATCCCGTTTTTAGCTTGTCATAATTTTTATCCGATTTAAAAAAAAAGTTTTAGTGTATAACCGTTACACCCTAAGGACGGCCGAGTACGAATTTCGTGAAAATCGGCCCCAAACTGACAGACAAAATGGCCGCCCTTTGTTCTCAAATAGCGTAAAAATATGGTAAATCAAGGATGTGGACCCTATAGAGGTCACAATTTTTATCCAATTTTGTTGAAACTTGAAATGTAAGTTTATAACCCAAAGATCTCGCTTCCTTTCGATATTCGTGCATAGTGAAACGAAGAAACCTATTGAATTTTAGCAATTTCCATTTACATCTAGAGTTATGGCCCTTGTTTCACTTTATTTAACCGTGTGAACGCTCTAAGTCTAAAACCAAAAGTTATCACCTAATCTTTGTAAAACTTATATACATGATTTAAATTAGTGAAACGAAGAAGCCTATTTAATTTCAATAATTTCTGTTCATTACGTCGAGAGTAATCATCCAATCTTTCTGAAATTAGTGAAACAAAGAAGCTTATTTCCTTTATTACTTCTAGAGTTATTGCCCTTGTTTCACTTTGTTCAACCTTGTTAATGCTCGATTGATGAAAGATTCCATCCAATATTTATGAAATTAATATGCATCATTTCAATTTGTGAAACAGGTCTATTGAATTTCAGCAATTTCCGTCAATAATTTCTAGGATTATGGTGGTTGTAAACCTTGTGAATGTTTGAATGACAAAAGTGATCATCTGATCTGTATGAAATTTATATGCATTATTTAATTTGGTAAAACAAAAAAGCCTGTCAAATTTTAACAATTTCTGTAGATTACTTCCAGAGTTGAGACCCTTGTTTCAGTTTGTAGAACCTTGTGAACCCTCAAACGGTAAAAATTATAATTTTATCTGTGTTGAACTGTCTTGTAAAGGCCCCCAATTACCTACAAAGGAATAAATATGCGACAACCCTTGTCAACAGCTCGGACGATTTAACTGCTGTGGGCGTATGTCTCGTTGCCTGGCAACCTATCTTTGTTTAGCCTGTTCTCTATCCATCTCTTGAAAAATGTGGGCATATCCTGCCTGGCAGCCGCTGGTTATCTGATTTTGATAAACTTAAAATATATGTTTATGTCCCAAAGATCTTGGTTCCTTTCATTATTCACGTGTATCAGACCATAATTTCCTGGATTATGGCCCCTCATTGTACGAAAAATGTCTTAAAAACTATTTAAATATATCATTGAGTTAGAATTTCTTAAAAATCAGAATGAAACGGCCGCTCCTTGAACGCAAATAGTGTATCAGACCATAATTTCCTGGATTATGGCCCCTGATTGTATGATAAATATCGGTCACAATTTTTACCTGATTATAAAAACCATTTAAATATATCATCGATACACCATAATGATGGTTAAGTTAGAATTTCTATAAAATCGGAACGAAAGGACCGCTCCTTGAACGCAAATAGTGTAAATGTATGTAATACCAAGGTTGTGGACCCTCTAGAGGTCACAATTTTCATCCAATTTTGATGAAACTTAAAATATGTTTATATCCTGAAGAACTAGGTTCCTGTAGATATTCACACACATCGGACTGTAACTTCCTGGATTATGGCCCCTAATTATAACCAATTGTGTCATAATATGTGGTCACACATTGTTGTCGGTCAGGTGTCCACAATTGCTAAAGTTAATATCCGGTTGACTTCAAATTAATACACAGTGTTTAAGGTCATGAGACTAAGAACCTTATTGATTATTGCCCTTGATCACATTGAAATATCTTAAGGACGTACTAGAGACTAAAAATATCCAATTGACTTTAAATTGATACACAGTGTTTAAGGTCATAAGATGAAAAATCCTATTGATTTTCAACGATTTCTGATAATTACTGCCAGAGTTATGGCCCTTGATCACATTTAACAATTTTGTGAACTGTCTAGAGGCTAAAGTTAATATCCGATTGACTTTAAATTTATACATAGTGTTTAATCCTATTGATTTTCAACCATTTTTTATAATTACTGCCAGAGTTATGGGCCTTGAACTCTAAAAAATCTTGTGGATGCTCTAGAGGCTACAGTTAATATCCGATTGACTTTTAATTTATACACAGTGTTTAAGGTCACGAAATGAAGATGCCTAATGATTTTCAATGATTTCCGATAATTATTTCCAGAGTTATGGCCCTTGATATTAATTGTTTTGTATACTAAATATTAGTATAGGGCAGAACTAGAAGCCAAATTCTAATGATTTCTGATAATTACTTAATGGGTTGTTACTTTCACTCAGATGTTAGTGTGTTGTAAATATGTTCATTACTGACAAAAGAAAAAAATATGTGACAACCCTTGTTGACTAACCTGCTGTGGGTGTAAGTTTGTTGACTGACAAAATTATCTTCTTTTACAGTATTGAATGATATGATTGAAGATATGGCATCACAGTTACAACAGTACAATAAAATAGAGGAATTATCTCATGCAGCTTTACCTACACAGGTATATTTTTCCCAAATATTTTATTACTAGGTGGTTTTGTATGTATAATATTATGCAATACTATGAACTATTGTTTCACACATTGCTCCCAAACGCAAAAAATATCGGCCTGTGTGCACAAAAAAAAAATTGCACGAGATGCACATGAAAAACCCAATATTCACGTGCAGCATTGTGTGTTAGCCCTTTAAAAGCATGTTTTCAACTTAATGTGCAGTACATGAACTGTGAAACGTCAATCTGTCGTAAGTTGTTGTTGGACGTCGCTGCACAGCGTGCGTAAGAGCCCGTGGAGGACACACGCGCTACTGACATCTGTGTCATACTTTGGGTTTTGACCCCTCTGACTTTGTACCGTTCATTACAGATTAAACATCCATAAGTGTACAAATGTGTTGTTATTGATGTGTTCCCATTTGAATATTGTTCACAATAAGAAGCAAAATAAATAAGATATGTTTACAGGATCATTTTGTTATACGAAAAACTAAGTGATGCGTTTTCCATGGCGTTCAGTATATTAGGTCATTAGAGTGTTACTTCACTCTGAAAATATATCTCCTATCTCAAAGTAATGTGACTGATTTTGTTTATGGCCCTTCAGTTGTTCTGTTTATTTCAACAGTCATTGTTCTTATGTCTCTGTCTTTTTGAAAGCTCCATAGAGGAATACAATATTGTACAAATCACATGTGAGTAATATCATTTTTATACGCCCACATTGATATGTGGTTGAATTTTGTCGTTGCTCTCTCAACCCCCCCCCCCTCCATCATTCCTTCCTCCAGAAAGTTAATTTCCAATTGACTTTAAATTTATACACAGTGTTTAAGGGGGTGGACAGTAGAAAATTTCAGGTTTTTTTAAAAATTGAGGTAAAGTTATCATTCTTACACATCTAAGAACACATCCATTGAGTAATACAAAGAGGGCCGAAAAATTTTCCTGGAGGTTCCTGTTGCTATGGAAATGGTGGCCATCTTGAATTTCTGCATATAATTTTAGTCAGAGAGGTTACTGACATGTTCCTTTGTGCAATAGGCAAGTTTCGTTACAAAATAATAATTAGAAAGCAAGTTATACACATTTTAATGTTAACTTCAAATTCTTTCACGTGTCACAGTTGCTATGGCAGCAATATATCAGGAACTATTTTGCAGATTCCAATAGAATTCTCTTATTGCACAAAGTGATTATATAGGAAAATATATTCCAAGTTTCAAGAAAATCTGACAATAACTTTCATAGATATAGCATGACTAAAATTGGTAACTCGAGAAAAAACTGTTTTGAGAAATAGTGTTGAAAATCGGATCGAGATTTGTGATCCAAATACTTTTGTTTGTTATCAGAATACTATTCGGATAATTCAGAAACGTGAAATTCTTGAACAAAATCACATTAAAAGTTCATATACCCATAATTTCTTACTTATTTCAATGTTTATGAGTGTCTGTTTATGCTGAGTATGAAATCTTACTTTCGATTTGCAAATTGTTTGAGCTGCGAAGAAAAAAACGTGCCTACCTTTAGCCTCAATTATTAAGACTATCCATGATATCCAAAAAAATCCTGTAGTCCGCATCCCTCCCACACGAATGAAAAAAGTAAAATAAAAACATTTATTCCGCCAAGGTCGTTTGCCTCATTCTGATAATCTACTGCTATTGAACCAATCAGTAAGTGAGAATATACGTGACCTAGGTCTAGGTCTAAACACAGTGTAAACTTGTATCCCGTAAACCCAAGAAGTAGCTTTCATCTAGCGTAAACCAGCGCAGGGAATGAATGAATATTTTTATACGCCCACATTTTCATGTGGACGTATTATGCCGTCGCCCCTGTCCGTCCGTCCATCCACAATTTGTTTGTGGACACTCTAGAGGTCACAATTCTTATCCGATTTTGACGAAACTTGAAATATAGGTTTATCTCCAAAAGATCTCGGCTGCTTTCGATATTGGCATATATCGGATCAAAACTTCATGGATTATGGCCCCTGTTTGTACGAAAAATCATGTTTTTAGCTTGTGGACCCTATAGAGGTCACAATTTTTATCCGATTTTGTTGAAACTTGAAATGTAAGTTTATAACCCAAAGATCTCGGTTCCTTTCGATATTCGCACATATCGGACCGCAACTTCCTGAATTATGGCCCCTGATGGTACGAAAAATCACGTTTTTAGCTTGTGGACCCTATAGAAGTCATAATTTTTATCCGATTTAAAAACCTGTATTATTATATCACCGTTACACCCTAAGAACGACTGAGTTCGAATTTTGTGAAAATCGACCCAAAATTGACAGACAAAATGGCCGCCGTTCGTTCTCAAATAGTGTAAGAATATGGTATATCAAGGTTGTGGACCCTATAGAGGTCACAATTTTTATCTGATTTTGTTGAAACTTTTTTATCCGATTTTGTTGAAACTTGAAATGTAAGTTTATAACCCAAAGATCTTGGTTCCTTTCGATATTCGCGCATATCGTACCGTAACTTCCTGAATTATGGCCCCTGATTGTACGAAAAATTGCATTTTTAGCTTGTGGACCCTATAGAGGTCATTATTTTTATCCGATTTAAAAAAACGTAATATTATATCACCGTTACACCCTAAGGACAGCTGAGGTCGAATTTCGTGACAATCGGCTCAAAATTGACAGACAAAATGGCCGCCGTTCGTTCTCAAATAGCGTAAAAATATGGTATATCAAGGTTGTGGACCCTATAGAGGTCACAATTTTTATCCACTTTTGTTGAAACTTGAAATGTAAGTTTCATAACACAAAGATCTCAGTTCCTTTCGATATTCGCGCATATTGAATTGTAATTTCCTGAATTATGGCCCTTGATAGTAGGAAAAATCACTTTCTTGTTAGCTTGTTCTCTATCCATCTCTCGAAAATGTGGGCGTATCCTGCCTGGCAGCCGCTGGTTTTATTTAGACTACTATTTTCGTTGCACTGCCTTAATATTTTTATTAGTTACTATCGCTAAATAATACGCATGATATTAACATTTATGCTCAAAGACTGTAACGGATAGTAAAATGATTCGTATAACCCTTATTTTGTATCCGTTAACGGATATCCGAATAGTAGTTTCAACACTATTGAGAAATCAACAACTGAAGTTCAAGTATTTCAGTAGAACAACTTACGCCAATCTGTTCAATTCATTTATTTAATGTTAATAAGCTGACTTTTAATATATATATTTTCTAATGTATATCTTATCAATATACAATATTTTCTTATTTTATTTCTTGTGTGTAAATTTACAACCGAACTTTGATATAGATAGTGTCGTATTCACATTTATCATATGGTGATCCGAGTCCATATTTTATATTAGCTATTGTAGATCCAAATCTATATATTATGATCAACCACTCATCGACACACTTCCGCTGTACAAATGTCTGTCACTGAATAGGGGATTGTCACTCGCTCTCGAGTTCAACTCAATATCGAACCCAAGACCTTGATAATGGCGACGAGGATGGTAAAAGTTTAGTTAAAAGCTCTATGAATCTGTTGCTAAACTTTATATGGTAAAAATATGGTCTCAAAAGCAGTATATTGTGTGTGAAGTCGACGCTCGTTTCGTAGAAATTTCCCACCCATCCTCAACACTTTGAATATTTAGACACACAATATGGCCACTGCTTTGCCTCATTTTCAGAATTTTCCTGTTCGCTCTAATGAACAAACTGCTGGTATTAGATGGAAGAAATGGGTAACAAGGTTTGAAAATTTAATGGTGGCAATGTGTATTAACGATACCAAACGTAAAAGAGCTTTAATGTTATATTATGCGGGTGAAGAAGTAAATACAATATTTGACACTTTACCTGATAGCGGAGATGATTATAAACATTGTAAAGACAGTCTCACAGACTATTTCAACCCACAGAAATATGTTGAATATGATGTTTTCAATTTTCGACAAGCAAGGCAAGACAAAGGTGAGACAATTGACAGTTTTCACACACGCCTACGTGAATTAGTAGTCAACTGTGATTTTGCCAATGTCGACAGAGAAATCAAGTCTCAATTAATTGCCAAATGTTCATCACAGCCCTACGAGATCCTGAACTCACACTCTCAAAACTCCTCATGCAAAGTAGAACTGTTGAATAGGCTGAACAACAAATAAGCCAGGTGGAAGAAAAGATACGCCCACCCACTCTTTCAAAATTAAATGTCAATAAAATTAGTGATTTTACTCGAAAAAAGCAAAGCTTTCAGAAATTTTGTCAAAAGAAACCAGATGAAGAAAAAAGATCTGGTGGACAGAGAACTCAATCCTGCAATCACTGTGGAGGAAGTGGCCTCATGATGGTGGCATGCAAACTGCCCAGCCCGAGGTAAAGAATGTTTAAACTGTGGAATAAGCTATCACTTTGCTAAATGTTGTCGATCTAAAACTGGTATTGGATACAAGTTTCGCAAGCATCAAGGACTGAGACAAAATGGCATCAAGTCAATACCATGCCGAAAAGACATTCCGAAGAAGAAACATCGAGTGACGATAGTTATTTCTACTCTCTCCAGAAGAATCACTCACAACTCCCAACAACTAGGATCAAAGTTGGAAAGTACCACATTCCGATTAATTTTATCATAGATACTGGCACTAATATTAACATAATGGGTAAAACAGTTATGAAAAAGCACCTACAGCCCTCCAACCAACAAGTATGAAGATTTTTCCATACGCATCAAAGAAAACAGTTAGTTTACTTGGGAAGTTTGAAACTACTTTGAGAAACCCTGTGAACAACAGAACAACAGACACTACCTTTTATGTCTCTGAATATAGTAATAAATCACAAAATCTAGGATTGATACAACTACCGTCAATCAACAATATCAACTCGATTCCCTTTATTGACAAACTGGTTGATGAATATAGTGACATATTCCAAGGACTTGGAAAACTTAGAGATTATAAAGTTCATCTACATATAGATAATTCTGTTCCTCCAGTCATTCA